AAAAGACCGATATATTTAATTTCCAATACCAAATGTCCTAGGAGTAGTGCAATATATGGGCAAAATTCTAAAGCTCTGTTTTCAATATTGCGACCTCAATCGGACGGACATGGCTATATCGACAAGGAGTAGCCTTTAAGAATAAATGGTGTCTCTGATGAATATTTCATTATTACATATTAATAATTTTGTTCATTTAATTTTTAGCACTTTTTTTCTGGCACTTTTTTAAAATTTTTAGCACTTTCTAGCATTTTTTCTCAACAGAGTTTTGGCAACACTGCCTACAACTGCCAACAACCGCCGATAACCGCACCAAGACCAGCACCGCCACCCGGTGCACCTACCCACCAACACCCGGTGCAACCGACCAAACCCAACTGCAAGGGGCTTTGTACGAGGACCACCTCTACTAAGTACTGTCCTTCTCCTAAATGTTACACGAGCAAAACTACTTACACAACTAAAGGTCCGATCGTTTTCAAGTGCCCTACTGAAATCCCACCCCGCCCCTACATTCGATATACCCAAACTTGCTAATTCTTTAATGTCATCATAGTAACAGCATTCCGTCAGTATATGCTTCCAGTCCTCGGTCATCCCGCACCCACATAAATCCGTCTGCGACAGGCCTCTTTTATGCAGAAAAGCATTGAGAGAGCCATGCCCCGTCAGTAAGAAACCAGTACTCAAGCCGAAGCGAAAGTCTGGCCGGTCCACTACGAACGTTGCGTCACGAATAAATTCGTATGTCACCCTCCCTTTGTCACTGTTCGTCCACCTTGTCCTACTCTCCCCATCCACCAAATCAGAAGGCCTGAGCCAATTATCCTCATCCAACTGCAAACCACGCTTAAGCTTATACATGATAGTCCTACATCTCACTTCAAGATCAAGCGGCGCGGCGCCAAGCAGCACCTGTAACGCCTCTGTTGAAACAGTGCGACACACTGGAGAGCACGCTAACATGACGACCCGCTGACACGAAAGGAGCTTCCTCTGCCCGAAGACAGAAGAGGCAGTTCTGTACCATATAGGTGCACCATAAGTTGCGCAGGCAACAAAAAGCCCACCATATATGATACGAATACTTTATGCCGCGTTCACCAGCTCGAATGCAGGGAGTGCACAGTCGGACATTCCATTAGCCTAATATTGGATTAGAAAAAATTTACCCTTTGTGGGGGTGGCCCCAGAAGGAGTGGACCAATGGGCAGCCGTTCGCATAATATTATAAAATTCGTTTTCATCAAAATTTTCACTAGTTTGTGGAGGAGGTCCCAGACTGAGTGGACCGATATTCCCCATCTTCGAACTTGATTTATGTTTGCAAGAAATATTGCGATGTGTTTAGCTAAAATCAGTTACTCCCTTCGAGATTTATAGTGCGCACCAACCAACCAGATAGACGGACGGACATTTGTAAATCGGCTCCATATATTCTGAAACGGATTTTGTCCAAAGAAACATAGGGTCTTAAAACAATATTTAGATTATAAAAATTATATAAATCAGAGGATATAAGAGAAGGGGCATTGTATACAATCTATTGTATATATATATACACACAGCGAAGCACAGTTTATATATTAGGTCCCAAGAACGAATCCTAATTAATGTGGTAAACATCGGTTCAGTTTTAGATTCTGTGTATATATTTTCGTTAGGTTTCATGCAGATAGTGTGGCCAATTCCAACATTTTTTCGATTTAGACGAAAATTCGCAGAGCCGTTGAAGCCTCAACATTTCAAAATTATTCTAATGAATAAATCTATCATAACCCACGAATGAAAATTATGCAATTTTCATGGGAAGAATATATTTCCTAACCTCTGAACAATACGAAGGCAGTTCGGAATCTTCGTAGCTTAGCACAAAAAGCGCGATATAAACAGAAAAAAGTTAAGTTTATGGAAACTTCCATCTCTGTTATTAGCACATGTTAAATTCTGGTTCGATCTGGCAACACCTTCATATGGAAACAGGTGTTTAAAATAGACGCATCCACTATTTTTATACCCTTCACCACACTGTGGTACAGGGTATTATGTCTTTGTGCATATGTTTGTAACAGGCAAAAATAATCGAGATAGACACGTGGTTCCTTTTGAGAATATGCATAGAATCTCTTTCTGAGTCGATTTACGCATGTCCGTCAGTCCGTCCGCCCGTCTGTCAGTCAGTCCATGTAATTTTGTGAACAAAGTACAGGTCGCATTTATGATCCGATTTGGGTGAAAATTTCCATATGCCTCTTATTTGGCCCAAGGACGAACCCTATTAAATTGGAAAAAATCGGTTCAGATTTAGATATAGCTACCATATATAGTTTCGTCCGATTTAATGTAATTGGTGCACCAAAGTCCCTACATATCTCTCGATTTGCACGAAATTTGGCACAGCGTAATAAATTACGTCTAGAATGATGTGTGTTAAGTTTCCTGAAAATCGGTTCAGATTTAGATATAGCTCCCATATATATTTTCGTCCAATTTAATGTAAATGGTGCAGCAAAGACCCTATGTATGATTCGATTTGCACGAAATTTGACACAGCGTAATAAATTAGGTCTAGAATGATGTGTGTTAAGTTTCCTGAAAATCGGTTGAGATTTAAATATAGCTCCCATATATATTTTTTACCGATTTAAAGTAAATGGTGCACAAAGTCACTATATATCTTTCGATTTGCACGAAATTTGGCACAGCGTAATGAATTAGGTCTGGAATGATGTGTGTTAAGTTTATGGATCCAATTTAATTTTACTGGTCCTATAAAAATGCGATGTCTGTTGGGATTCGTCTGTTGAATATACCCAAAGTGGTGAAGAGGCACAAAACAATAGTCGGCACCGTCCGACTTTACTACTTTCCTTACTGGTTTATGCTTGAGGTATCTGCTAAAAATTTCTCAGAAGTAGGTGTAAACGATGATTACGGACTTAAATTTTTACGATGTTCTTCTTTTCGACGCAGGCATGATTTCCGATCACTGGAACATCCGATTAAAAAAACCAGAAAGGAAAGTAGTAAAGTCGGACGGGGCCGACTATATGATACCCTTCAACACTATGGGTATATTAAACAGGACTATTAACATGAAATTGGATGAAATAAAATATGTGATATTTATCTAAATGTGAATCAATCAAATATAAATAGGCCATCCGTTGGGCTATGTCTGTACTTCTACAAAACGCAACTACGTAATTCTATGCTCAATTTTGTAAGTTGTGCAAAATTTGATGCCAATCTGATACCCAATTTACATGAAATCGGGCGAAAATATATATGGAAGCTCTATCCAAATATTAAGCGATTTCAAAAAAAAAAAAACTAGTCACAGGTCAGGTTATACTAATTTCAGAACGTTTTGTTCCTATCAGCCTATTGGTTCATTGGTGCGTCAATTACATAAAATCAATCTATAATAAAAGGGAGCTATATCTAAATCTGGACTGATTTTTACGAAACAAGGCAGACATCACTCTAGGCTCAATTCAGTACGTTGTGCCAAATTTCGTGCAAATCGAAATATAGCGACATTGTTGCACCATTTACATGAAATCGGACGAAACTATATATGGGAGCTATATCTAAATTAGGACCGATTTTCTCGAAACTTGACAGACATCACTCTAGGCTCAATTCAGTACGTTATGCCAAATTTCGTGCAAATCGAAAGATATATAGGGACTTTGGGGCACCATTTACATGAAATCGGACGAAACTATATATGGGAGCTATATCTAAATCTGGACCGATTTTCACGAAACTTGGCAGACATCATTCTAGACCTAAATGATTAGGCTGTACCAAATTTCGTGCAAATCGAAAGATATATAGGGACCGTTTACATTAAATCAGTTAAATATATATATATATATATATATATGGGAGCTATATCTAAATCTGAACCGATAAGTGACCTATGCCAAATTTCATCCAATTCGGATCATAAATGCGACCTGTACTTTGTTTACAATTTAATATGAACAGACAGACGGACGGACGGACATGCATAAATCGACTTAGAAAGTGATTCTATGTATATTCTCAAAAGGAACCATGGGTCTATCTCGATTATTTTTGCCTGTTACAAACGTATGCACAAAGACATAATACCCCGTACCACAGTGTGGTGAAGGGTATAAAAAAGAAACGGCATTTGAATGAATACATTTCTGGCTCTGATATGAAATAGAAAAATTAACAAAATGAGAAATATCCCATTTTTGATCACAAACCATATTAGAAAAAAGGAAGATCTTGATCAATTACATATATTCTAGTTCATAAGATCATGAACGTGTTTCAATTCTAGACCTAAATGATTTGGATTATTAGTTTTTAAGCCATTGTGCCTACAATTGATAAAAACGCTTTTTCAAAAAAAAAAAAAAAAAAACGAACATAATATTTGGAAGCATATCTTGCAGGACCGGTTTTCACAATAATTTCCTTTGCACACATCATTGTTTGCAAATAGAAAACCAGGATATATAGGGACTTTGAACATAGAAACTGTAATTATGTTTCGGTATATTTTTCTATACGATCGAATGCATTGATTTAATTCATCTATATGCACTCACCCATATGTTACTGGGTGCACATGTATACAGTGGGTAAACTTTGACATTAATATGGATTATATTAAGTATTTATAATATAAGGTTATGATCCGGTATTTTTAAGGCATTTTCCAACCCAATTGGCATATTCGGTTCCTAATGGTTCGGGAAACTCCTTACAAACAATTGCTAGTGATATTAATTTTATAGGTTCAGAATTTTTTTCACGTATACCCTAAAAATCAAAATGGAACAAATGCCTAAAAATTTATTCCAAACTGTGGTGCGGGGCATAAAAATTACAAAACAAAGATAATTGATCAACTAAGTTTAACACTTTTTATTGTTGTAAAAAAGAATAAAATAACAAAACAAAATAATACCAACAAAAATTTGTTTTAACACAACATCGTTTTAGAGTCCAGCTTAGCCATAGAAACCACCTGGGTATCCACCCAAACCGCCACCAAAACCGCCATAAGGTCTGCCGAAGCCACCATATGGACTGCCGAAGCCACCATATGGACTGCCGAAACCACCATATGGACTGCCGAAACCACCATAGGGACGTCCATATAGACCGGGACGACCAAATAATCCACCAAAACCTGGACGACCAAAGAATTGTCGGACTTGACGTACTCTTTCAGCTCCAGCGGCAACTCCAGCATCAACATCGAATAAATTTGTAGCTTGTTGGTTAACCGTGGCGGACCATGCCAAAGCCAGGAAACAGGCGAAAATAGTTAATAAAGTGACAGAACGCATTTTTTTCTCAACTAAGACTTGTTTTTGCGATAACTAAACGTAAATGTTTGATGTTCTATTCTAAAATCGTTGAGGTTTATATATGATTCGATTTGGTTAAATTTCGTTATTTTCTCTTGAAATTTTTATACAACCAAATTTGTATTTTAAAATTAAATGCGAACTGTTTTTATTTAGAAATTTGAATATCTTAATTGTCAGATATTGGATATTTGCAAATAAATGATTAACACAAAGCGTGTGTGCCTTATTTCAGCTAAAGATGCTAAATATGTTGACTATAGTTTTGCTTTATACGTAGGCGTAACCGTGTTAATCATTTCAAATGAAAGAGAAATAGTCGCTTTGTTTACGGAAATAAAATCCAGTTTATTACACGCACATTTCAAGGGCAATTCCGTATTGGACCGATGGGGATTTACTGTTTTAATTAAAGTGAATTTATAAAGATTTATGCTAATCATTAACATTGTTATTTGGTCATTCATAGAAATGTTAGAAATTTAAGAGTTCAAACGAAAAAATAAAAATAAATTTAAATGTCATAATAGTTGGCGCTGTTTTTGCTACATGCTAGCAGCTAGATAATTAAAAAAATGTTGTTTGGGCTCCACGGAAGCAAGACGCTTATATGTTTTTGGCGTTAAATGAAGAAAATATTTCACGGATCCAATAATTGAGAAATGTTATAGGATGTATAAACTTTCCTTTGGAAGGCACGATCTAACGAAATTGTTATTATTTAAATGATGAATGCATTCTCATACCCTCCACCATAGTATGGAGGGTATATTAATTTTGTCATTCTGTTTGTAACTCATCGAAATATTCACTTCCGACCCTATAAAGTAAGGTAAAATTCTAAGACGATCTAGCCATGCCCGTCCGTCTGTTGTAACCACGCTATCTTCTGAAGGATATTACAGATCATTTTTTCCTCAATTGCATTCGCTATTCAAAAGTTTGCTCAATCGGACAAATATTGGGAGTTTGGTGTATCATTCACAAAAAAAAAAAAAAAATCGGACGAAACTATATATGGGAGCTACATCTAAATCTGAACCGATTTTAAGTAAGCATACCTCAGTAATCTTTGCTAAATTTTGTCTCAATCCGACAAATGTTGGGAGTTTGGTGCATCATTCACAAAAAATCGGACAAAACTATATATGGGAGCTATATCTAAATCTCAACCGATTTTCTCCAATTTCAATAGGGTTCGTCCTTGGGTCAAATTTCATTCAAATCGTATTATAAATGCGACGGACGAACAGACGGACGGACATGCGTAAATCGACTCAGAAAGTGATTGTATGCATATTCTCAAAGGGAACCATGGACCTATCTCAATTACTTCGGCATGTTGCAAACATGTGCACAAAGACATAATATCCTGAACCAAAGTGTGGTGAAAGGTATAAAAATATGTTTGAATCAGTGAGCGGAGCAGTATAGTCGGACGGGGCCGACCATATGATACCCTACACAACTTCGACGAAAATCTAACTTTCTATGGTTCTATAATCGGAGCTTGGGCAATATTTCGAGATTTTTGCACCCTCTAGACAAACAAATATTAATAATATTCAGTAGTTGAGGGCTGTACCTGTCCAGATTCTCTTTACCGTGGGTTATGTTGTGATGTTGAGCTTTCAATTGTGGCCTGTAGATCGTCTTAAATAACGCAAAAAATTAAGTTTTCGGTCCACTTCATTCCAATATTTTATCTGATTATCACCAAAAATTATAGGCATTGTCCTTGACCATAACTAGAACCTCATGGAACATTTCAAAGCGATCAGCGCTATATTTCCGCCCTCCAGTGGGTTACTAAATAATATCTGACTATATAAGCACCCTAAATATTTAATTGTAATTCCCGCATCCGAGTACATACGACAATAAAATTGACATCAATTTAAAGGTCAACAACTCATTTTGGATATACTATCAACTTCTCGGCTCTATGTCTTTCAGGAATAAATATATACGCTAGAGAATACAAATTTTGTCATTTTCACACAAAAGTCATTGTCCATTTGACCCGCTAAATATTGACCGATCTTTATCAAATCATTGAGCCGAACCCATCCTACATGCACAATTTCGTGAAGATTGGTCCATAACTGTGGCCTGTATCGTGACAGACGGACACACGGACACACATGTCTAGATCGACTCAGCTAGTCGAGATATGACGGTCGGTGGGTCTAGGACCAGTATTTCGCGGCGTTACAAACTTTTGGGGCTGCACAAAGCTATAATACCCTGACAACATAGTTGTGTAGGGTATAAAAACTAACTATTCTCATTCACTGATAGGCTAAGAAGTTTCCGAACCGTCTTCGTAACAATTAAAAATTTGGATAAGTTCGATTGAGCCGAACTTTGTATGTACATGTTATGTACATTCAAAATTCCTTTAACCGGTCGGGATCTTAAACCCTTTATGGCCCAACAAAATGTTCTAGAGTTAAAATTTAATATGCGGCAAGTAAATGTATATTTGTATACCCTACACAACTATGGTGTTGGGTGTTATAGCTTTGTGCAGCCCCAGGAGTTTGTAACGCCTCGAAATATCGACTCACCTTTAAGTATACCTATCGTCATATCTCGACTAACTGAGTCGATCTAGACATGTGTGTCCGTCTGTCACGATACAGGCCACAGTTATGGACCAATCTTCACGAAATTGTGCATGTAGGATGGGTTCGGCTCAATGAAGACCGTCCATTATAATTTGTAAACACGATACAGGCCACAGCTATGGACCAATCTTCACGAAATTTTGCATGTAGAATGGGTTCTGGTCAATGAAGACCCCTATTGTTTTTGGTAAAGATCGGTTAATTAATGGACCAAATAGTTAATTTTGTCGGATTTTCTGGTCGCTCCAGGGCCGCAATTATGCCCCAAACATCGCGCAAATTTACATTGAGAAGGGGATCGGGCCAAAGAATAAGCATATCTGTTTTGATACAGATCGGTAGCGGGTCAAATGGACCCTGACTTTTGTTTGGACCCTGAAGTATATATTTACTCCTGAATTTACTCCCGATGAGTTGATAGTATATCCAAGGGGGGCGGTTAGCCTTAAAATGGATACCAAATATAGTGTTGTATCTACTCAGATGTGGGAGTTACACTCAAATATTGACAGGTGCTTACGTATTCAGATATTATTTTGTAACACATTACTACATCAGAGGGCGGAAATATAGCGCTGATCGTTTTGAAGTTTTCCATGTACTTCCAGCAATGGTCAAGGACAACGTCTACAATTTTTGGTGATGAGCAGAATAAAATTTTGGGATGAAATGTTTTCGAGTCGAATTTAGTCCGAACATCGCAACACAACCCACCGTGAAGGAAATCTGAACAATTAATTAGAAGGGATGTACTGGATATTCGAAAATTTAAGGAAGAGGTGCTGTTGACCTCTAATCGGGTAAGTGGGGGCAAATATTATGAAATATTACCCAGACTCGGAATAAACATCCGCAGAATGTTAGAGTTCCGTGGTAGTTGTGTAGGGTATCGTATGGTCGGTCCGTCCGACTATACTGCTCCGCTCACTGGTTTGGAAAACATATGTTAATAGCTGATTATAGACGACACATATCAAAAGAAAAATCTAAAACATTCAAAGTTTTGGTCAGGTTATACGCTTGTGTATACAGTCCAAATTGTGTATACAGTCCAAAATATTTAAATCACTTTGTATTCGAAATGTACGAATTGTACCCTATAAGTTGTTGTTGAGACTTGTAAAAGTACATTAAATCTGTGCACGGAAAATGGTTCTATTGGCACGGGTAAAAATTCGGGCCACAAAGGGTTGAATGGATACTATGTGAATGCATTATGCATTAGTAGTTTCCGGGCCTTTTGTATGGGGGTATTTTTAAAAATATCAACCTATATTGAAGAAATTCTGAAGTACTAATTTCGGTCAAAAGTACGGCTAAAACCTTAAAAATACAGACAATTATGCTAGACCTATATCTTCATAACCATTTCGGTACATGGGGCAGTACATATGTAAAATATAGGGGCTACAAAACTCTCAATGCAAAATTCGATTAAAACTA